GATGACGTCCCGATCCTGAGGGCGGCTAAGCGGCCGCCAAAGCTGCAGGTACCCACACATTTTAAAAATGCCGTCAGTAACACGTCTGAGAGTAACCTTTTGGATGACAAGCTTATTGCGGACAGTCCACAGCGTCCAGGCGAGGACCCCTACACAGAGCCAACGGATATGTCGGTAGCGAGGGGGGAGGCATGGATCTCTGCGAGAAGGTCGGGAAAATTGGAATTGCACCACTGTCCACCAACCGTCTCGCAGAAACTGGACCAAAGAAACTGGGCTGTGGAGCACGCGAAGAAGATGTGGTTAGCGTCCTCCACCGTGCCGCATAGGGGGCAAAGCCCATCTCCAGGTCCGTTACGCTTGAGGACTTCGACTCCGGAGGGGAGGCGTCCACGGATCCATTGCCAAAGGAAGATCCTAATCTTCAGTGGCAGGCGGATATCCCAGATCAAACTGAAGGGCTCGGGGGCGGGCAAAGGCGCGATGGCCGCGTATAGGGACTTAGTAGAGAAGCGTCACGAAGATTCTAGGCGCCAAGAGATGGCGTCCGGGGTGTCAGTGACGTTCATCGGGAGATGGGCGATGTCCTCGAGGAGGGCATCCCAGGCGGCCACTTCGGGCGAGCCAAAAGGGCGGCGAAACGCGAGGCGCCCTAAGTCAATAAGGGCCATCTCAACAGAGACCCATGGGTCAACAGCAATGGCGAAGAGCTCGGGAAAGTGGGCGGCCAGAGGGGTGTCGCCGATCCACCGATCAAACCAGAACAGGGTCGCAGACCCAGACCCAACTGAGATGGACGTGCCAATGCGAAGCACAGGGAGCAGCTGAATGATGGCCTGCCAAAACTGGGATCCGCCCGAACGCTGACAGAAAGCCAGAGGCTGTCCATGGAGGTACTTGTTCCGGATGATGGTGAGCCAAAGCCCTCCGTCACCATTAGCAATACACCATAGCCACCGGGTCAGGAGGGCGATGTTCATGCGTCGGGAGGACAAAATCCCCAGACCCCCCTGGTCCTTGGGTTTACATATGTCCGGCCAACTGACCATATGGTACTTCTGTCTGTCATCCTCGCCAGCCTAGTAGAATCTGGATTGGTACTTGGCAATTTCCGTGTGCAGCATTTCATGGAGGCTATAAAAGCTCATGAGGTACCAAAGAAGGCTGGCGAGAGAGGAGTTGATGAGAATCACACGGCAGCCTTCGATAGCCAGCGCCCTTTCCAAGGCTCGACGCGATGTTGCATACGGGTCACCGTGGGGCGGAGGTCCGCCACGGTGAGGCGCGAATCACTAATGGGGATCCCCAGGTAGGTCGTGGGGAAAGAACCCAGCCGACAGTTAAGTTGGTCAGTGATAGCCTGAGCTTCCACCGGAGGGTAACCAAGAACCATCACTTCGCTCTTTACGAAGTTGATCGTTAGGCCCAACATCTGCTGGAAGCACAGGAGGAGGAACTTCAGGTTAGCCACATCCTGAGTAGAACCTTCAACCTCCCCTCCCCCTCCGCGTATTGAAGGAGGGAGACCCCTCCCCCTCCGACTAGGTGGGGGACAATGCCGTGAATATGACCGGCACCCTTGGCTTTGTCCAGGATGGCGGCCAGAGCATCGACCACCATGTTGAACAGGAACGCGAGAACGGGTCCCCCTGACGCACCCCACAGAGAGTGGGGAAGTATGGCCCAATCTCGCCGTTGATGTTCACCGCGGTCCGCCCACAGGAGACTAATTGCATCACGCGAGTCACCCAGCGGTCGTCAAAGCCCTTACGCAGCAGCACTTCCCGAAGGAAAGGCCAGTGCACAGTATCATAAGCTTTATGAAAGTCCAGCTTCAGGAAGACATCGCGATGTTGTTTCACCCGAACTTCGTGAAGGACTTCATGGAAGACCAACACGCCATCTAAAATAAACCGGCCTTGGATGAAGGACGATTGGTTCGGGTGAGTGATCGAGTTAGCAAGCAGGGTCACCCTATTGGCGTACCCTTTGGCCAGGATCCGGAATATCACGTTAATCACGGTGATGGGACGGAACTGGCGAATATTAGAGGTGCCCGGAACCTTTGGGATGAGGGTAATGATCCCATAATTGAGGCGACCAAGGTCCATAGAGCCCGAATAGAACTCCTCGAAGAGGGCCATGACCTCAGGTTTGACTGTCTGCCAGAACGTTTTAAAGAACGTAACGGGCAAGCCATCCGGACCCGAGGCGGAGCAGGGGTTCATTCCTTTAATGGCCACGAGTACGTCTTCTTCGGCGAAGGGGGCAACAAGGGCCGCGTTAGCCTCGTCGGAAACCAACTCTACCCCCGTCCAAGTGTCGGGGGCGAGACTAGCCCCACCCCGAGGGGTGGGGGTAAAGAGGGCTTTGTAGAAGCCATCTACATGAGCCCGAATGGCCGCGGGGCGGAGAAGGGGGGCGTCATCCTCCCACAAGCAGTGGATGGAATTTCTCCGGCGTCGGCCATTCGCAACCGCCTGGAAATATGCAGTGTTCGCATCGCCACGGAGCACCCATCTTTGGGTACCACGCTACCTCCAGTATGCCTCCTCATCTGTGTAGATGGAGGAGAGTTGATCCTCAAGATCATATCTCAGCATCCACTCATCTGGGGAGAGCCCGGAGGAGTCGGCCTGGGCGTCTAGAGCCTGAATAGCCAACAGGAGAGATCTTTTACGCTCGCGGAGGTCACGACCAAGGTTAGCGCCCCAGCCCTTCATGAATTGGCGGGCAAGCTTGGCGCAGAAGTGCCACGAGTCAACGACGGACATGGAGCGACGGGGAGAGGCGCGAGCAAGAGTCCAACGAGCAGAGACCGCATCCCGAAAGCCGGCCTGGTTGAGCCAAAAGGACTCAAACCTAAACCGCGGCGGGAGGGGGGGCACTCGTCCGCAGAGAATAGGAGGACAGGGACATGGTCAGACCCAATCCGGGTAATCGCCCGGAGCGAGGTCAGGGGGCACCTCAATTCCCACTCCGGGGAAACTAGGACACGATCCAAGACGGATCGCGTCGGGTCGGCCTGGCGGTCAGTCCAGGTGAATCGCGCCCCCGTCCGCTCGATCTCCCGGAGGCCGAGCTCCGTGATCCAATCGTTGAACAACTGCATCCGGGGGAGGTTAATCCTATCATTATTCTACTCGTCCGGAGAACGGATGAGGTTAAAATCTCCGCCCACAACTACTGGGAGGAGGGAGGTGGAGATCTTTTGGTGGAGCTCTGCAAGGAAGGTCGGGGAACGGCGGTGATCCGCCGGACCATAGACAATCACGACCTCCCATTTGAAGTTCAGAGCTCGCTCAAGAATCTCCATGCAAACGAAGAATTTGCCCCGGTCCATGCCGCCCACCTCGAAGGTGGCATCCTTAACCCCTAAAAGGATGCCACCGGAGTGGCCCGTGGTCCCACTAGAAGGGAACCAATGCCAGGCGAAGAGGTGAGAGCTGATGCAGTCAAGCTCATGGAGGGAGAACTCAGTACGCAAGGTTTCATGGATCGCAATGATGTCAATGTGTTCGTCACGCACGTATTCGACTAGTTGGTGGCGTTGGCCATCATGACCAAAGCCGTAGATGTTCCAAAAAAGGGCCCGTATCTAAGCCCCCAACGGGGGGCTGCTTGACCCCAGAACACGAGATGCGCTTTGGGCGCGAAGAGCAGCAGTGCGGGACTGAGTGCGCCCGCGAATAGCCCCGTCGACCACCGGAGGGGCCTGAACAGCAGTACAGGCAGTCTGGTCCTCAGGGGTCCTACGCAGGCGAGCCCGAGTCTCAGCCAGCTTACCATCCAGGATCTTGCGAGCCCTAATGGCCGCGATCTGCTCTAAGGGGGGACCCACTTCCCCCTGAAAACGATGGCCGAGTCAGTGGCCACCTTGGCAAGGTGTCCAAGAGGAACGGCCTCAAGCGCGGAAAAGGAACAACATGAAGAACTGGGGAGGGAGGAATCCACACCTGACTCGAGGTTCCAGGCAGCCGCCCGGATCTCAGCACGCTCGGCGATGGACGGAACCGAGGCATTGACCGGGCGGGACGCATCGAGGCGGGCGCTGCGGCGAGACGCCGTCACCGGTGTCGAGGAGGAGCGGGGCCGCCTGGTGTACGCCACCGTCTGGGGAGGGATCGCGGAGACCGGAGTGGTGATGACCACGGCCACCGCCAAAGCCGGGGAGGTAGGGGAAGTGGGGTGGGCATCGGGGGCCACCAGCGGGGGAAGCGGGGCGACAAGCACCAGGGTGTCACCAAACGCATCCCCCCCAGGCGGGAGCACCGGAGAGGGCTCTCCGAGGGGAGGGGTCCCACCGTCACCACCCGTGAGGACCGGAGGGGTCGGGGCCGGGGGGGACGGTGGTTCCGGATCCGATGGAGAGGAGCGACGAGTGGAGTCGACGGACGGAGAACGGGGCGACGAGGGGGGCACGACGAGCAGACCAACACTCGAGATGTCACTGGCCGACTCTGAGGCAGGGGGAGAGGGCGCCACTGGGGGTGCGGCCAGCTGAAGAGCCACCGCGAGGTCAGTGGCAGACACTGGGGTGCGGCCCTGCCCGGAGCCGCCGCGACCCGAGGGGGGGTTGGCGGGCTCACGAGACGGGGAGCGGGAGCGCTCAGAGATGTCATCGTCCTCCTCGTGGTCGTCGAAGCGGGAGTGGCGGGGGCGTCGGTGGTGGGAGCCATCGGCATCCGCGGGCCTGCCCCCCTGGAGGCTGTCGGCGAAGATGCGGGGGCGGCCGATGTGGTTCGGCGGCTCAGGGCAGATGGTGAGGTCGTATCCGTCGTCGTTGAAGAAGACCCGAAGCGTGGTGTGGAGCTTGGAGGCGTCCAGGCATTTCACCTTGACCCAGACCTCCTCCTCCTTGCGCAGAGAGAGCTCGTCGACCACCACCACCTTGCCCAGGATCTTGGACATACTGCGAATGACCCGCTCAGACCGGGCCACGTCTGGGAGGCCGGCGATGAGGATCCAAGCAGTGTCGAGGACCGCCACGGCCTTGGGATCCCACCTCGGCTCAGAGATGTTCACCACAATCCCGTTGAGGGCCAAGGTGATGTTGTCGCTACGGGTGCAGAGGCCCATGCTCAGGGCGTCGAGGAAGATCACCAAGAAAGCGTTGGGCGCGGTGGAGGTCACCTGCCAATCCCACTTGCATCGGTAGAGGTGGTTGAGCTCGGCCTCGATCAGCTCCGGAGTGGCGACACCCTCCCCCACGACCGTCACAAGGGCCAGGAGCGAGGGGGAGGGAGGCGGAAGCTCCGACACCTCAATGTGGAAGAAGCCCATGTCCTTGATGCCGTGGCCGTACATCATGATCTCCTCCATGACCGGGCGCTCCAGACAGAGAACTGCAGGGTGCCCGGCTTCCTTGCAGAGGTAGCAGGTCGGTGGGTTGGGGCAAGCCACCTGGAAGTGGCCGGGCAGGCCGCAGTTGAAGCACGGCGGACCCTCGGGGGCGGCGACGGCACCCGAGGCCGGGGTCACCACGTCGGCGGAGGAGGAGGCAGGTGGAGGGCAAGGTAGCCATTTCTTCTTCTTCTTCTTAGCGCCCGGGCGCCCACGGTTCCCGTTGCCACCGTTAGATGGCGGAAAAGCGGCTTGGGCGCGCGGGGGCTGGTAATGCCGGTTCTCAGGGGCGGTGGACCCGGAGGCGGGAGGAGCCTGACGCGGAGGGGAAGGCCGGCGGGAGCCACGGCCGTCACGGGCCGGCGAGCGCCGGGTCGGTGACCGGCCTCGGGCAGGGGAGCGCCGGGCAGGCGAGTTGGCCCGGTCCCGGGAGTCCTCCCAAGGCGGATCCCGGCGGGCTGGCGAGTGTGAACGGCGGTCATCCCGCGTCGGGGAGCGGCGTGATTGGCGGGGAGGGGAGCGGCGGGGGTCGCGGGAGTCACGAGCAGGGGAACGGCGAGCCGGGCGGGAGGTGAGCTG